AAAAATCCTTTCATAAGACAGGTTTGTTAATTATGCTACTTGATTATATGTTCTGATCGACTCTTGTCTATCAGTTACTGAAGTATGTTAATTCTCCCACCACAGTTTAGTTTTCCTTCTGTTTCGTCAGCTTTTATTTTCTGAGGTTTTATAGTTAGGGCATGCTATTTTATTTTTTTATCTTTCTCTTTTTGTCATTAACATGCAGTGTATTGTCCGAGGGGTACAGGTCTGGGAATCAGGCTGACACACTTCACAGGCCTCACACAGCACACGGCCTCCCCAGTGCCCGTCACCCCGCGGCCCAGCCCTCCCACCCCCTCCCCTCTGGCCACCCTCAGTTCTTTTCCTGAGACTAAAGGTCTCTTAGGGTTTGGCTCCCTCTCTGGTTTCCTCTTGTTTCGTAGGGCGTACCACTTCGGAATAGTTTTATCTTTTTTTTTTTTTTATTTTTTAAAGATTTTATTTATTTGTCAGAGAGAGAGTACACACAAGCAGGCAGAGAGGCAGGCAGAGAGAGAGGAGGAAGCAGGCTCCCTGCCGAACAAGGAGCCCGATGCGGGACTCGATCCCAGGACCCCAGGATCATGACCTGAGCCGAAGGCAGCGGCTTAACCAACTGAGCCACCCAGGCGTCCCTAGTTTTATCTTTCTGATGAGTTGAACCTTCTATCATTTTAAAACACCCGTTTTTCTCTAAAAAATGCTGTTTTATCTCAATGTCTGCTTTGCTTGGTACTGAGACAGATGAACCAGCTTCCTTTGGTGTTTTTTGACTTTTTACCTGCAAGTAGGATTTGTCTCTTGAAGACCACACACCGAGACCTGTGTGAGCGCCTCCTGGGGGAAATGCCTTCGAGGGCCACCGTGAGGGCCACGGGGAGCCTGGGAGTGCTGGGCGGGGGAGTGGGGGCGAGGAGGAAGAGGGAGGCAGCGCCCAAAGACATTCTCATCCTCTGGAGGGTCTCCCGCGGGGCTGCAGCCCATCCTCTTCCTGGGCAACCACCCACCTGCTCCTCCCGGATGGATTAGCGCTTTCTGGTGGGATTCGTTCCGCGGGGGGTCTCTTGTGCCAGAGTCTGAGGGGGCTGGAGGCGCCCGGGCGGCAGCGTCTGTTTGGGTGACCCGCTCGGGTGATTCCGGTGCTGCACGCGCGGGAGGTGCCGGGGGCCAGAACTGGGTCCTGCTGCTCCTGGTTTAAGGTTTTGAGAAACCAGGAATCTGTTTTCTAAAGTGGACACGTGTTAAAAATTTTGTATTTCCATCGTTTATTTCCACTGGCAAAGTGTGAGGGTTCCTGTCTCCCCACGCCCTCCCCAACTTGCACTCCGGCCGCCCCGGGGCTGGGCCGTGGCCTCTCACCCCACTTGGGATCTCGTGGTCCCCAATGCCGGGGACGCAGAGCTGCGCGCAGACTGTCCAAAATGTCCACTCAAATCGTTCACTGACTTGTACACTCTGTTCTCTTACCGATGAGGGATAGTTGTTTATTCTGATAGATGAATTACAGATATATTCTTCCAGTCTGTAGCTTTTTTTCATTTTCTCAATAATGTCTCTTGAAGAATAAAAATTTTAGATTTCGATTGTCTGCTCTATCAAATTTTCTTGTCTGGACCACATCTTTGACATTACATAGAAGAAATTTTTGTCTAATGAAACGTCATGAAGATTTTGTTCTCGTTTATAATCTGTTTCTTTCTTTTTTTTTTTTTTTTAATGTATGCTGTGTACCCACGGTGGGGCTCAAACTCATCACCCTGAGATCAAGAGTTGAAGGAAGGCCCTACCGAGCCAGGCAAGTACCCCGATTTTGTTTTTAACATATTACTGATTTTAGAGGGAGAGCAAGTGGTGTGTGTGAGCAGGAGGAGTACCAGAAAGGAAGGGAGGGGCGGGGAGAGCATCTCAAGCAGAATCCTTGCTGGGTGCAGAGTCCAAAGCAGGGCTCGATCTCATGACCCTCAATTCATGACTGAGTTGAAACCGAGTCAGTCGCTTAACCAACTGAGCCCCCCAGACACCCCTTTTGTTCTTCTGAATGTTTTATAGTTCGTACACTTGGCTCCATGCTCCATTTTGAGTGTCTGATGTGAAGCAATGGCCCAAATTCATCTTTTTGGGGGTCCATTATTACCAACTGTCCGAGCATGGTTTGTTGAGGATTTTTTCCCCCAATAAATTGTCCTGACATCTTGGTTGGAAAGCAGCCGACCTTAAATACACGGTTTATATCTGGATTCACCATGTAGTTTTATTGACTGACCTCACGTCTCTCCTTATGCCAGTACCGCCCTGTCTTGATCACTGTAGCTTTATATGATACTTTGTAAAAAGGGAGAGTAAGTCTTCCCAGTTTGCTTATTTAAAAATAATTTGAACTATTCTACGTTGTGTTTGTTTCTGTGTAAACTTCAGGGTCAGTTGCCAATTTTTGCAAAGGAGTCGGCTGCAATCGTGACACCGATTGCACTGTGTCTGTAAGGTCCGTCTGGGGACAATGGACATCGTGCACTACTGTCAGACAGATTCTCTTCCCGTGGATTTAGAACCTCTTTAATTTCCCTCAGTAATGTTTTATCGGTTTTGGTGTGTAATTTTGGAGTTCTTCTGTTAAGACAGCTACATACTTTATTTCCTGATATTTTGAATAGAATTACTTTCCTGATTTCCATTTTGTTTATTTCATTGCTAGAATGGAGAAATGAGGTTGGCTTTTGTATATTCGTCTTGTATCGTTGTGACCTTGACAAACTTATTTCTAGCTCTGGGAGATGTTTTGATCCTTCTTAAGTTTTTCTTTATACAGGATTACATCATCTGAAAATAAGGACAGTGCACTTTGTATTTTCCTTTTTTTAAAAAAGATTTTATGTTGCGCCTGGGTGGCTCAGTGGGTTAAAGCCTCTGCCTTCGGTCATGATCCCGGAGTCCTGGGATTGAGCCCCGCATCGGGCTCTGCTCGGCGGGGAGCCTGCTTCCTCCTTCCTCCTCTCCCTCTGCCTGCCTCTCTGCCTCCTTGTGATCTCTGTCAAATAAATAAATAAATCTTAAAAAAAAATAAAAAAGATTTTATTTGAGAGAGTGCACACAAGCAGGGTGGGGGCGGTAGAGGGAGAGGGAGAAGCAGGGAGCCTGATGAGGGGCTCAGTCCCGGGACCCCGGGATCATGCCCTGAGCCATAAGCAGACTTTTGGCCGGTTGGGCCCCCGGGTGCCCCTGGACGTTGTACTTTCCAGTCTGGATTCTGCACAGTCCAGTGAGAGCAGCCGCAGACCAGCCCCCGGGGCAGGCGCAGCGCAGAGACAGTAGAGCTACTAATCCGGGTGTCGGGGTCAGGTCCATAGAAGGGTCTTAAGAAAGAGGACCGAACAGGGTAGACTATGGGTTGCAAATAGCAAATCAGAGAAGTCACGAGGCTAATTCCTCAGTGGGATCTTTGTGCATCTCTGACGGTCTAGTCAGAGGTCCGCACCGATTGGATCCTGAGTTTCGGAGGCCAGAGACGGAGCCACCTTCCCGGCCTCTCCTGCTGTGGAGGGCCGTGCGGGGTGGGACGGCCGCTGAGCTCCCGCTGCTGCCCCGTCTCGGAGGCTGTGGGCGCCCCGTCCTTCCTTCCCTTTTCAGACGACTGAGCGAGGGCACTTTTCACAGACCCGAGTCCTGACGGAGCGTCTCCAAGCCACACACAGAAGAGCACACTCTAGTGTCTAAGAAAAAGGCCCATTTATGTATGGACTTAACTCTCTAGACTTTGGCAACGGAAGTTGCTTCTAGAAGAGGAGGAAGGAAAGGAGGCAATTTCCACGATACACACTTCTCCGTGGGTTGAATGTGGCTGGACAGCAGGAGCGAAGGCGCGGGGACGCCGCCCAGCGAGCCGCGGCAGGACAGCGCCGGGTCAGTGGCCCTGTGCAGGGGGCCAAGGGGGGCGGCAGGGGTGTGGGTAGGCAGCAGACGGGCAGAGGCAGGGAGGAGCTCAAACAGGAGGTGGTAGGTGTGACCGCAGCCTGTGAGGACCGAGAGAACGAAGGGCTTTGACCTTGTGACCATGAAGCTGAAGACCCAACTGTTCATGGCTGGCGGGTCGGTGGGGGTGGGGGGCGCGTGTCACGGTTCGGAACGAGCCTCCCGCCTTCTGGGGCTGGGAGTGACCAGCCGACCTCACGGAGGACTGGGTCAGGGCGAGGGTCGAGTTCTGAGGGAGCCGTCCGGGCGGTCTCGCGTGGGGGAAGCTCGCTGTGCGGGGAACATGCTGATGCACGTCCACAGACGGTCCCCCTCGTGGCCACTCCCCAGCTAAAGCGCTACAGAATCAGGTCCTAAAAGGTAGCGGTCGCCCACGCGTGAGGTGCTTTAGCACTCCCACACCGTGGGAGTCCGTGCTCACCAACCCCCGGACCCCCCATCAGGTGACAGGGCAGATGACACCAGCAGGCTGGTGGCTGCGGGGCCCAGAGACGGCCGGTGAGCAGCAGCGGGGGCACGGCCGTGGCCTCGAGTCCTCCGACGGGGGTGGGTCCGGGAACTCAGGGCAGCCGCTGACCGGAGTCACTGTTTTCTCAAATCCCCGCCCGCTGGCGCACACGAGCGCGGGAAGGACGGCCTCCCTCCCGCCCTCCGTCTGCGCGGCGCCAGGTCCTGGGAGGGAGAACTTCAGGGCGGATCTTGGTCTCCTGACCTGAATCTGGAAGGTAGACCTAGTGGACGTTTCTGCAGTCTGGTCGCTGCGGACCCCTCACAAGCAGAACGCCGGAGAAACTCAATTTGGCCAACTGAAGGCTCTTTCCGTGTTATAAATCTCACACAACACTTTAAGAAAGATACTTTATTTAAGGGAAAGACCGTAATTACTTAAAATCTGAGAACCCCACCTAATAAACTGCATTCAGGAACAAGAAGACACTTCAGGGCACTAATGTCCGTCTTCCCTGGAGGCTGGGAGCGGACTTGTCCGGGCGGCATCGGGTCTGACAGCGTCTGGGATGGGAAGCGTCCCCTGTCCTCTGCGCGGGCCGTGACGCGGCTTAAAGGTAGGCGCAGAGCCGCTCCAGCTGCCCGGGGTTGGCGTCACTCAGGAACAGCAGCTCCTTTTTCCCTTCTTCTGTATGAGCTAGAGCAGGGGAGACACACAGCTGGCAGTGCCGTCGGCAGCGCCATGCGCCCCAGAAAATTCTGTGCGCAGAGGCTACGTGCTCCAAACAGCGTTGGAATGTGACGACCGCTCCCGGAGACCCCACTTCTAGATCCTTTCCCTCAGCAAGCGACTATTTTGTCCCTCTCTGTTCCTCTGCAATCCAGCATGTCTCCCTCTGTTCCAGGAACCTCATCTGGCCTTTTGGACTTTGTCGCACGCCAACCCCCTCAGAAATCTCCGCGCCGTGGTCCCCGGCCCACCGATGCTGCAGCTGCTGTCTGCCCTTCCCTCCAGTCCTTGGTGATGTCCTCCACAGCAGCTGGCTCGCTCTCACCCGGGGACAGGACCACCACGACCTCTGCTCCGCTAGCCCCTGCCTGGGCCGGGGACAAGGCTGCGGTGTGCGGCGGAGGGCGCCCGTGTCCACAGAGCGGGACAGGCGGAGCATGGGTCTGGCCTGGCGCCGGTGGGCCTCGCTCACATCCAGGGCTGGGCTTCCAGCCCGAGCCTCTTACTCTAGGCCGACGTGAGATCGTGGGAAGAAACGCACCGTCTAGTAACCGCCCCCCCACCGCCACCTTTCCTGCCATCTAATTGGCCAGAGAGAAGTCAAGAGAAAGGGAGAAAGACCATGCAGGCCGCTGCCGTGGGAAGACATCAAGGCTCTGACTCGAGGGGACTCCGTGAATGGAAAACTCGAGAACCAACCTTTCTCGTGCTGCAGCCAGCTGTTCTCCAGGTAGTACTGGATGCAGCTTTCAAACTCCTTTGGGCTGTAGCTGGAGACCAGGATGGGAACAAAGGGATCCAAGGCATCAAATCCTTCCTGGAGAAGGAAGAGTCGTTAAGTGACGAGTCAGCAGAGAGTGACCGGACTTCAACGCGTCCTTCTCTGCTCCTCACTCTCGGGCCACCGCACCGTACACAGGCGCCATGCATGGCGGCTGGCCGCTGTCGCTCATGGCCTCTTGCGTGGTCCTTGTGCCAGGGTGATGCCCGCGGGGGAGCTACCACCTGCTGTGAATAGTGACAATTCCTGTTTTTACAGTTCTGACTTCAGTAGTCAAAGACACTTAGTTCAGACAAAACGAACAAGGGCAGCGATAAAGACCCACTAAATGGAACACACTGAAACCAACCGGTCACCAAACCGCGTTTCAGGTTTCAAACACAGCAATGAAGGGACCAGGGACCGAGTTCACTCCTGAGCAGAGCACCCGGACGAACGAACCCGCCCAAGCCCGCCCAGGACGACAAAAGCCAGGGGCTGGAGACTGGGAGCTCGGGCTGCGCGCCGGGCAAGGCCGAAACCAGCGAGCGGTGATGGCCCCGCTGGGACGCCGCTCACGCACACAGAACGGGGCAGAGGGGAGGGTGCGCTGCAGGCCGGTATCAGCCTGAACTCAAGGGTGTTTCACAGGAATCAGGGAACGTAGAGACGTGTGTGGTGTGCATGTGAGGGCCCGTGCCCAGAGCACATGCGTGCGTGCGTGTGTGAAGGCGGGAATCCTGCCTCGTGGGTTCTCACACTGCCCTGGGGGCCTCAAGGAGGGGACAGCCCAGACGTAGGAAGCACACAGCACTCGGGTCTTGGAGTCTAAATCCAGCCCATGCTCAAGATAGTGGGGGGAATTCAGTTCCACCTCCTGAAGAAGGCGGCCTCTTTTATTTTTTTTTAAGACTGACTTATTTATTTGACAGAGATAGAGAGATCACAAGCAGGCTCCCCGCCGACGCGGGGCTCGATCCCAGGACCCCGAGATCATGACCTGAGCCGAAGGCCTTAACCCACTGAGCAACCCAGGTGCCCCAAAGGGGGCTTATTTTAAACATTTTGTTTTAAAGTATGCTCTGGGGGGGCCTGGGTGACTCAGTTGGTTCCTGGGATCGAGCCCCCATATCGGGCTCCCTGCTTAACAGAGAGCCCACTTCACCCTCTCCCTCTCCCTGCTGCTCTGCCTACTTGTGCTCTGTATCTCTCTGTCAAATAAATGAAATCTTTTCAAAAATATAAAAAATAAAAGTAGCCTCCAGGGGTGCCTGGGTGGTTCAGTGAAGCGTCTGCCTTTGGCTCAAGTCATGATCCCAGGGTCCCTGCTGGCCGACAGTCTGCTGCTCCCTCTGTCTGATGGGCCCCGCCCTCCTGGTCTGTGTGTGCTCTGTCAATTAAATACATAAAATCTTTAAATAAATTAAGTAAATGAATAAAGGTTCAATACCCAACGTGTTACAGGAGTTTGACCTCATGACCCTGAAATCAAGAGGTGCCTGTTCTACCCACCGGCCCCCCAGCCCCAGGACCTGGTGTCCACATACCACTGTCCTCTACAACGAACCAGGGCTGCCTAAGCAGTGGCTGGTTCTGGGCCTGGGTGTGGGAAGTACCGGGTGAGCGTGGAACGCCTGTGCTCCTCGCCCACAAGTAAAGCCAGGGCTCGAGAAGGATGGGGTGTGGGAAAAGCACACCGACGCCAGTCCGAAGGGGTGTCTGCTGGCTAAGTCTGCCGTCATTTAAGCACCAGAACAGCAAACAGCAGAGGTTTAGAACTCATGAAGAGGCATCTGTGTGCCCACGCGGAGACAAATAAGTGTGGGAAGGGAAGGAAAGTTCTTACACGTAACGGAAAGCCAACCCACGTGTGTGGGAGAAATGCGGGAGCTGGGAAATCTCTTTCTGCCAGTACCACCGCTGGGTTTAGGAAGGCGCACAGACGGACGTCCAAGCTGTCAGAGTGTGAGGGGTAGCTGGGGAGCAAGGTGGCCGCCACAGTGACTTCACCAAGGATCAAGCAGATGTGCAGTCCCTAAACCAAGTGTTCAGGGTTCACTGTGGCGGCTGCTGGGAGAGACGCCATCCGGGGTTATCAGCGGATGAGCCACAGAATCCCCCGGGACTGGCAGGTGCTGTCCCAGACTGAAAGAGACCAACAGACCAGGACAGTCGACGGGGATGCACGGGCCAGGACTGTTTCTGTGAGTGACACTGGGAGAGCTGGCAAGACCACAGGACGTCCTAAAGATCAGGTCCCAGAACTTATTGATGTGAGATCCGTGATTTTAATCATTGTGCCGTAGATTATATATCTGGAATGTCTTTGATTTCAGGAAATCATTACAAGCTTGCAGCATGTCTCAGGTTACTGTCACTGAATTCAGGGAAAAAAGCAGATGGAGAAGAATAAAGCCAACGTGGAAAAGCGTTACCACTTTAGGAATCTGGGTGAAGTCAGATACGAATCCGGTTTTTCTCCAAGTCTATAATTATGTTTAAAAAAACCAACCCCGAAAAACAAAAGCCTCATCAGACAGACCGACTATCTAGGGGGAACCTGATTTTCTGGTGACCGGACCTTTCCCAGCAGCTCCTGCGGCAGATAGGCCATCCGCGGCGTGAAGAGGGACCCGGTCTGGCTCAGCGCCAACACCACGGCGCCTCCGTGCTGGAAGAGAGGCCGGGGGAGGAGAAGGGGGAGAACAGAAAAATGCGTTGTTGTCATCTGGATTTTTAGTACAGGCAAATGGCCACTGAGCAGGTCCCTGCTTCTGGGCCCAGCTCTGACAACATGCGGCTGTGTGAGCTCCCAGGGAGCAGCGAGCTTCCCAGGGCTGGGCAGGTGCGGAAGTGCTCTCCGATACACACAAACAAGGGCCCGTTCCCAAGCCAGTGGGGAGATTACAAACCAACTACATAGAGTTAATTTATTTTTAAAGATTTTATTTACTTATTTGAGAAAAAGAGATACCACGAGAGAGGGAAGCAGACTCCCCGCCGAGCAGGGAGCCCGATGCAGGGCTCGATCCCAGGACACTGAGATCATGACCTGACCCGAAGGCAGATCCTTGAGGACGGAGTCCTCCCCCCCCCCAGGCGCCCCTAAACACAGAGACTTTAAATGAAGAACTTTCTGTCCCCGAACTCAGAGACTGACAAGCAGCAGGTGGCCCGGACACTCACCCAGTCGTTTCGCACCATCTTCCTCAGGCTGTGCACAAGCGCCAACTCCTCGGGGGCCATCTGCATGCCACCAGCAGGCGAGGAGGGGACAGAGATCAGGCCAAGCTTTGCTGGGATGGACGGTCTCTTGGCACAAACGACTGGCGACAACTAGAGCTTCCCGCGCGGCTATGTAAGCTCAGTGGCTGGTGGTTGCCAGCCTCAGCCCCCCGCACCTCCTGCCCGGTTTCTGATGAAAACCGGCCACGGAGGGAGAGCACAGCCCCTTCCCCACGCCGCTGCTGTCGCGAGCTCAGAGGGTAGGTGCTCCAGCTGCCACGCTACGGAAACCAAGTCACTTAGCCTCGTTCCGAAAGCACAGCGCCAAGAACAACAGCCAAAACCCAGCTCCCGGGGCAGGGGTTCGTTTGCAAACCACCCCTCCTCCCCGAGTTTGCAATGTTTTTTTTATGCCGTGTTTTAATTCACATGCTCCCAAGGCGAGCAAACATGCACAAGCTACAAGACCTCGTCCCGGCGCACGCATGGTGGCACCCGTGGTCAGTGACGGAGAAACACCGGTTTCCTACCAGGCTCTTATCTTCTCTCTTCAGCGTGGTCCTTCCCCAGAGAGCATTGACTCCATCCACCGCCACCAGGAGACGGAAAGCACCCGAGCAACTCTGACTCTTGAGCTCTTTGAGAACGATCCCAACGGCATCCGTGGCATTCTTCACCCGCGTCAGGCCCTGCAGGGGAGAGAGGCAGGGGCTTGGCACCCAGGAGAGGCCTCCGCCGGGACGACATGGGACCCACCCCTGTCTACTTTGTACCTGCTCTACCACTTCTCCCAGAGGCCGGCCTTTCTCGGTGCTTTCTCGCTTATTCCACATGTACGTCTCCTGAATTTTTATCTAAAAACGAACATGAAAACCAGAGAAAGGCTATTTAGCCTAAAGATAAGCCTATCCGCAGCTGTGTAGGTAGGAGGGTCAGGTTGTTAGGAGTCAGTTTTAATCTGTTTTTCAAGCCCTGTGAGCAACTCCGGGAGAGAGGTGACCGCCTTCTAGCCCTTTCCTGCCTACAGTGTTAAGAACAGAAGCCGCTGGGCTCCTGACCACAGTCGCCGGGATGAGGCCTTGGCAGCCGCTGGCACAAGCTCCCAGGTGACCCTGACTTATGTCCAGAGTTGAAACTCGCAGCCTAGAGACTGCATCTCAGAATCACCAGAGCAGAGAATGATGCCACCAGTACGTTTCTGGTTGCCCGAAGACCTTGATGGGGAGAAAACGCTGTGGCTGGAAATGGGCTTTAGAGGGTCTGTGGCTGTAGCCCGGGACGAGCCAGGGAATCCGTGTGGCCTTGACTTTGCTACACGGGAAAAGCTCTCGCCGCCTCGGGGACGGCCTGCGCCACGGCGTCAGGTCCCGCGGGCGCGACGCCAGCTCGTGCCTCCACGCGCCGAATGCAGCGGGGACCCGAGCGCCTGGCCGTCCCAGCTGCAGCGCTCGCTCTCCCCGGTCACCCCAGCTCAAGGCGCCAGGATCGCGTTCACGCGCGCAGCGGCTGCGCCGGGCTTCTGGAGGCTCCTCACCTGACTCAGGAAACGCTCGTTGGCCGTTTTGAAGCTCTTCAGCCAGCTGGCAGCCTCCACGGGCTGGTCGAAGCGCCGCCTGCTGTGGGCCGAGCGCAGGAGGCCCCGGGAGCTCTTCACCCACAGGTGAGCTGCGAAGACGGACGCACAGATGCGGGATGAAGCCAGGCAGTGACCGATCCGCTCCGGACACCGCTGCCTCGTGCCGCCGCCCCCGCCCCGCGCTGGAGAGGCCGCCCGGGACCTCGGACCCCGGAGCGGACTACGACGGCCTCCCGCGGGCCGGGGGCCTTCCTGCGAGAGGGGCCGGCGAGCGAGGGGAAGCGGCGGGACCAGAAGATGGAAAGGAAGGGAAGACCCACTCGCGGCCCAGCATCACTGGAGGACGCCACAGGGAAGGGGACGGGCAAGTCTACATTGTGTGTCCGAGGGTCAGCCGTGTGTTCCTTAACGCCCTCTGGCCTCAGAGGTCATGCTGGTCCCGCTGAGGTCACCAGCACTGCAGTCTGTGCCCGAGGCACGCCACAGGGTGAGAGGTCACCAGATTCCCAGCAGTTTTTATTTATTTTTAAAGATTTTATTTATTTGACAGAGATCACAAGCAGGCAGAGAGGCAGGCAGAGAGAGAGAGGTGGAGGCAGGCTCCCCACGGAGCAGAGAGCCTGATGCGGGGCTCGATCCCAGGACCCCGGGATCATGACCTGAGCCAAAGGCAGAGGCTTAACCCACTGAGCTACCCAGGCGCCCCCAGCAGTTTTTATTTTTATTTTAACTTTATCAGAGAGAGAGAGAGAACGGCCAGGGGGACTGGGAGAGGGAAAAAGCAGGCTCTCCTGGGACTTGATCCCAGGGCCCTGAGACCACGACTGGGGCCATAACCAAGACCGGGACACTCAACGGACTGAGCCACCCAGGTGGCCCCAAAATACTTCATTCTTACTATCAAACGGCTCTTGGGAGGTTTTCGCTGCACTTCTCTCACCGCACTTGCTCACGTCACATGCAACCGGCCTGGGGTGACCGTGACGTCAGGCCGGGCAAGCTCCACCGGCTGCTCCCTGAGCCGCAGCCCAGCGCCTGCAGCCCAGCAGAGAGCGTCTCCTTACCGTCGGGAACGTGCACGATCAGCCAGTCCCGTTTTGCACAGAAATGAACAACATGGCAGAGACTGAGGGTTTTTCCTGTCCCCTTCTCCCCATCTAAAGCACCTGCGGTCAAGGAAAACCTCACCACAAGGGACTCCGGCCTGTCAGCAGAGGGCCGCTTCCCGCCCCTCTCCCGTCAGCGGTCAGGACGGCTCCAGCAGGCGGCAAAGGATACAGAGCACGTACCGCACGGCCGGGTGAGCGAAATTGGTGTCGTCCAGGTACCGCAGGAGCTCCAGGGCCGGCCTCCTCACCATCAGGCAGGCTTCATTGAAGGTCCTCACCTGGCAGAACCGGGAAGCAGGGCGGGCTGCGGCGAGCGGCGCGGAGCGGACCCGGCAGCCGGAGGGCCCCGCTGCGCGCCCAGCCTGTCCGCTCGGGCGAGGCTGGGCCACTGGATCTAAGCTGCACCCACAGACTCCAGCTGACACCCACTAACACAGCAGTCCCCATCTGCGGATTTGTTGACGACACGGAAATCTACAAGCGACAGTGGGCACCTTTTCACACGCTCCACAAACCATCTAGGACTAACTCGCTAAAAGAAGGTAAGATGCTTCACAAGGTATCTGACACATGCTAAGTGCTGAATGAATGTTAATTCATTTAAATCTATTTTTAGCTAATTCTTACGAGTATCTGGACTTTTCTCTAGAAGCACATATGTGACAGCTCAGGAGCAGGTGTGACCATGGGTCCCACAAGCCACCCTGGATGCCAGAGAATGGACACAAAGTTTCAGTCCCTTTTTGTCACCAGGAGTACGCCGGTGGAAAAATCTGGGCAGTGCCGATGCGTATGATGGTGATCCGCAGATAAAGGATTTCATGATGTTTCTTTTTTTCTTTTTTTTTAAGATTTTATTTATTTATTTGACAGAGAGAGAGAGATCACAAGTAGGCAGAGAGGCAGGCAGAGAGATCGGGGAAGCAGGCTCCCTGCTGAGCAGAGAGCCGGATGCGGGGCTGGATCCCGGGACCCTGAGGTCATGATCTCAGCCAAAGGCAGAGGCTTAATCCACTGAGCCACCTTCATGATGAAGGTGCCCCTTCATGATGTTTCTTAATAAGATCAAATACCTAACAAGCACTATCCACAAGTAGATAAGGATTAAAATTGTGTTGCTATCTTCTTTAACGATTACTTGACAGAGCGAGCAGGCGCAAGCTGGGAAGGGGCAGAGGGAGCTGCACTCTCCACTGAGCGCTGAGCCCAGCATGGGGGCTCGATCCCACGAGCCTGAGATCACGACCCGAGCCAAAACCAAGAGTCGAAGCCACCAGGCGCCCCAATAGTGTTGATATTTTTAAAGAAATCCTAACCGTACAGCTGAATTGAAGGACTCGACAGGCAAATTCAAACTTAATGGAAAGTGAAACCTTCGAAAATGTGACAGATATTAAAACAGAAATGCCATATTAGGCAATATGACAGCGCTAAAATACACAAACAGTGGGGAGGGAGTTGGCCTTCATTTAAAGGAAATTATGGAAGGAATGTGTGAGTAATTCCCTCCACAGCCCTGGCGGTCAGGCCAGCCGGGAAGCGACTGGAGACGGTCACGGGGCCGGAGCAGGACGGGTACTGCCAGCATCCGCGGCTGAAGCGCCCCGACACCCAATTATCCCGGTGCGTCCCGTTTCCAAATTCCAGGCCCTCCGCCCCAGTTCTGCGGTGCTGATGACAAGGCTACTCGTGGTCTAGCATGCTCTCCCTTACTGGTGTCTCGCCGAATTTTTTGAAATAAACGACCCGGGAGGGATGGCATCCTCTGCCTCTGAAGCTAAAAGTCACGTGCACAGTCTGGTCTGCCCTTTCGGTGAGAAGGGGGTCTCCGAGGCCGAGAGCAGTGCAGCAGGAGGGACTCAGAAGCCAACTGTTCCAACAAACCAGGCTGGCAGGGCGCCTGGGGGGTTAAGGCGTCTGCCCTTGGCTCAGGTCACAATCCCGGGGTCCTGGGATCGAGCCCCGCATCGGGCTCCCTGCTCAGCAAGAAGCTGGCTTCTCCCTCTCTCACTCCCCGTTTGTATTCCCTCCCTTTCTGTCAAATGAGTGAATAAAAAATCTTAGAAGAAAAAAAAAAACACCCAAGAAAACAAGAGCAAAAAAGCACCAGGCTTGCAGTTCATCAGGAATTTTCAGCAGCTATAAAGCAACCCAAGATTATGTGTTTGGGTGGAAGTTTTCTGAAAATCCAGGACAATAAAGAACATTAAAGCTTCGGGGCGTCTGGGTGGCTCAATTGGGTAAGCGTCTGCCTTCGGCTCAGGTCATGATCCCAAGGTGCTGGGATCGAGTCCCACATCGGGCTCCTTGCTCAGTGGGGAGCCTGCTTCTCCCTCTGCTGCTGTTCCCTCTGGTTGTTCCCTCTGTCTCCCTGACAAATAAAATCTCAAAAAAAAAAAAAAAGCCTCTAATCCAGACCCCACTTCTGTCTGGCTCAGGAAGAGATGATGATTTCGAGTCCCACAGCTCACTTTCTCATGGCGTTGTGCTAAGGCAAACTTAGACCCATCTATGAAGGATTGTTTGAGCGCCAAAGGTTCTGGAAAGCTGCCAGGTGGGTGACGAGCGGACCACAGCGGGGTTCTGGCAACCGGAGAATACTCCGCCCGCCCGCGGCCACACGGACCGCGATCCGCGTCCGACTCACGTGCAGACTCTGGCTCCTCCAGTCCGCACGGCCCCCCCCCCCCCCCCGCCCCCCGCGCGGCTCCGAGCCCCCCCACCCCGGCGAGCACCTGCAGGCCGAAGCGACGGGGCAGGCCGTGGGGGAAGACGGTCGGGAGGTCCTGCAGGGGGATGCGGTAGTGGCGGCCCTCGCGCTGCTCGCTGGCCCCGGCCTGGGAAACAGAGACGCCAGCAGCTGCCACGGGCCGCGCGTGCGACACGTCTCAGCGGCGGGAAGGGCCCGCGACCGCATCGAGGACACTTTGCGCCTCAGGGCTGGAAAAGAGGTCGTTCGCTCGTCAGGCCGGCCCGGAGGGGATGGCGGTCGGCCTCCCTGATGGCGCCGGCTGCTCGGCCGCGTGAGCCCCGCGTGCGGGGGGCAGGGACACGACTCCCGCCATCTGGATTCTTCTGTGCGGGGCGTGGAGAGGCTCCAGTCACGCGACAAGTCTGCCGCCGCCGTGTCCACGGAAACCTGAGGAACCGCACGGGGGCTCCCACGCCACGGGAAGCTGAGCGACGCCTCAGTGACTTCCCTGTTCAACTCAGCGAAGCTTCTGGAAGCAGGGCAGCGCCGCGCCCGCGTCCTGGCTCCAGAGGCCCGCCCCGCGGAAGGCCGGGCCCCGCGTGCCCCGCCCCCTTCACGCGTGCGCCCCGACCCCGCGGCCCCGTCAGGGCGGCCGCCGCCCAGCCCGGGAAGGCGAAACCGCGACCCCGGGCGCCACCAGAGCCCGGCCGCGGACAGGCTCCCTCTCACGGCCGCTCCCGACAGCGAGGCTCGTGCCCGCCCCAGCAGTGGGAGGCGCGGCCAGGGCGGCGGGCAACCTGCGGAAGGACCGGGCTCTCCGGCGCCAGCCCGGCCACCCGGGCGCGCGACTCCCCGCGGGCCGGCGACGGCGGCGCCGCTTCTGTAGATGCGCTTCCGTTCGTCTTACGTCTCTACTTACTATTGCACTTACACTTACTTACAGATTCTTATTTAAAGCCCCCGCCGGCTGCTTGTGGCACAGTGAAGCAGCTTTGCTCCGGTCGGGTCAGTCAGGGGCCAAGTCCGGCCACGCCCCACCGGGAGACCAGAAACTGCCCCGTGGAGCTCCGAAGGGCTAGACCCGCCCCCTGCCCCACAGACCCCCGCGACACGGTGGCCCGCAGCCGCAGGGGTTCAATCAGGCGTGGAACGGCCTGCCCGAGGGGTCGATGCGGGCTCCCCATCTGTCCTGGGTGCCCCAACTGCAGGCAGACCTGCTCCCTTCCCCAGCTGCTGGGTCTCCCGATATGTAAAATGACGGCGACATGCCTGGAAGACCGGAAAGAAATCTGCACGCTCACGAGCGACTCACCGGGTCTTCCTCGCTGGGGCGGGAACCGGCTCTGGGGCTCTCATCCGGAACCTGGTCATCTAGGCGAGCAGCAAGGCTTTGGGGGGCCTGGGGCCCCCCATGCAAAAAACGTCCAGGGTCCAACTATAAAAGAAACCATGGTAATGTTTTGGAATTAGCAGGCTTTTTTCCTCTTTTTTTTTTTTTTTTTAAGATGTATTTACTTATTTGAGGGAGAAGCAGGCTCCAGCCAAGCAGGGAGGCTGACGCGGGACTCCATCCCAGGACCCCGAGATCATGACCTGAGCCAAAGGCAGACACAACCCACTGAGCCACCCAGGCGCCCTGGGATTTGCAGGCCTTTTATGCTCACTCCAAAACTGAGGTTTCGAGCCCCATCTATGATAGGGAAATTCACTAATACACAGTTAAGCGTTACGTGCAAGGAACCTTTATTTGTACAATTCTCTACATCCAATCACGTGGTCCACCCTCTGAATCTGCTGTGTTGCTGGGGCCGGGCTCCGCCCCCCACAGACACGAAGCCATCTGTTAGAGAAGGCTCTGGAGCCAGGCGCAGCCGCTGGCAGCCTGGAACGGGCGGCAGGCTCCTGCACTCTGGCCCACGGCGGTGGCCGGCAGCTGGGTGGCAATCGTGGCCACCTCTGTTCTCACGGGGCCCATGCGGGGCTCCCACGAGACAGGTAACAGGACACGCCCGCAGCCCTTGTCCTGCTGGCCGGGCCTGGAATAAAGACTCTGACTGAGGATGCCTCTAGCTAAGCGGGAGGAAGCCACCCCTGAACCAATGGTTGGGCTGTGGGATTTCGGGAGGCAAGGCTGAGAAGCTGCTGCCCGGAGAACCCCCAAACTGAGCTGAAGGATAACGGGCCTCGCGCAGAAGGAGACGCCAGTTCTGTATGGCCAGGAAGCCGAGTTTACACACAACCCAAAAGGCAGGTGAGGCTGGCACCGTGGCCTTGGTTCTCATGCCAAGTCTGAGACCTGACAGCGGCAGGGATCAGCCATGCTTTCTTTTTCATGTTCATTTATTTTAGGTCATCTCTACAGCCCAAACGTGGGGCTCGAACCCCCGACCCTGAGATCAAGAGTCACATACTCTCCCAACCGACTGGCCTGGCGCCCCTCGGCCCGGCGCCCCTCGGCCATGCTGTCTGATTAGCGGGCAGGTAAACATCTTATTAGGGAGGATAAATCTTTGGAACTAGGAAAGACGAAGAGTCAAGATTTAGAGGAGAAAATACCAGTTAGAAAGTTGTTAAAGAACTTAAATGAGTGTAATTTTTCTGAGCAAAAGAATCGTTTAAACCTTAGAATCAACATGCTGACTTGGCACCCCAATGTGACAGACCGTCACTCCATGTGTAGCCCAGACCATCTCGGAGATGCAGCAAGAGCCAGAACGAGACAACATCTGCGACACCCGGGCCGCCCGGGGCACTCGGTGGGTGAAGCGTCCGCCTTCGGCTCAGGTCATGGTCCCAAGGCCCTGGAATCGAGCCCGCATCGGGCTCCCTGCTCGGTGAGGAGCTTGCTTCCCCCTCTGCCTGCTGTTCTCTCTCTGATGAATAAATAGAAATCTTAAAAAAAAAAAAATAAAATAAAAAAAAAATAAAAAAACAACCCAGAACAGCCGCAACACCCGCAGCCACACTGGCTGGGCAGAGCTGATGAGCGCCTGGGCCCAGGGCATCGGCACGGGGGTCGGACCACCACGTGCCGAGCGGCTGCACCCCGGTGGGCCCCTGCTACTGGAGACAAAGCACTAGGGCTTTATTTAAAAAAAAAAAAAAAAAAAAAAAGTAACAGAAAATTACAGATACTCAAGGGCCACAAGGTGGTGGTATTTCTACACAAATCCTGATTTTTCTTTTAGTTAAATGCTTTTTGCAGCAAATTAAGCCCTAGCAAAATGGATTCCTTACTCCTTACTCTGTTACATATGGCATCGCCCAGACAGTCGTGTGTCTCGCCCGCGTGCCATTGCCTCCGCACAGCTCCAGAATGAAAACCAGACAGTTCCCGAAAGAGCGGCACCCGCGACCCCAGCAAGGTGACTTTAAATCAATCTACAAAAAGCACAAAGTTCTCAGACTGCTCGCGGCCGTGGGCTCAGGTTGTTCTCGTCTGCCATCAAGAACAGATTTTAGCCTTTCAATGCAAACAGTTGAGGCCCAAATTTACTGCTGATCCTTGTTCCTTTTTTTAAATTTCCTAATAATGGGTTATTTCACATCTACAAGCTTTATCACGAATCCCTGGGAAAGAGTTCTACGGAGGGAAGGGCCCATCCTCTAGACGGTCTCACGTGAGGCAAAGGATGAGACGGAAGGGATGGAGCTCTGCTGGGGCTCTCACCCTTTGGGACTCAAGTCTTAGGGTGCTCTCTGCAGGCCCCACAGACTCGGGGAACCCTGACTCTGTCTCTGGCTTCTGATATCCAGGAGAACCGTGACCATAAAAGGGCCACAAGGACAGCGCTTGAGGCCACAGGCCTTGTGACGAAACCTGGGCTCCACAACCCTCCCGGGATGTCCCTGCGGGTGGTTCATACAGCCTGGCTACTGCTCACTTTCCGTCTCTGAGTGACGAAGACGTTTCCTACCGGCCCCAGCCCCGCTGCGGAGACGTAACGAGACGAAGCACTTAGCACTGTGCCAGGCACGTAACGAGACCCAGCGAATCGCACCCACGGATGCACAATGAGCCGTCTGAGTCCTGAAGGTACTGAGGAAACAGCTGCTCAGTGAACGAAGCAGAGCAATGCAAGGGCCGTTTTTATATGTGATTTTACTATTTTATTCAGCTATCAGATGCTAAAAGTCTAAGGAAGCAACTTATTTTTCTTTCAAATACCTCATTAAGGGGGATAATCATCAATCCAATGAGATGTTAACAACAGTTAATAAAGATAACTGCAGTCAAGCTTATTCAGCTATTTCTTTTTTTTTTTTTTAAAGATTTTATTTATTTGACAGACAGAGATCACAAGTAGGCAGAGAGACAGGCAGAGAGAGAGGGGAAGAGAAGCAGGCTTCCCGCTGAGCGGAGCCTGATGCGGGGCTCGATCCCAGGACCCTGGGATCATGACCTAAGCCGAAGGCAGAGGCTTTAACCCACTGAGCCACCCAGGCACCCCTCAGCTATTTCTTTTTTAAGTGTCAATTCTCCAACAAGGCTATTTACAAGGGCAGACTCCGGGAGCAGAGGCTCGGAGTGGCCTCTCGAGAGAAGTCAGTGAAAGGCCTGGGCAGCAGCCATCCTCCAGAGCGCGTCATTCTGGACTGGGAGAATCCATCTAGAAACTACAGTTCTGCCTAAAGACAATGTGCACGAAGCTGCGAGGTCAGCCAGGACTCACCTGGCAGGCCCTGGGGACAAGCCTCGTCACCCTTTTCAGCATCACGGCTGCGAGCTCAGGCAAATTGAAGTGGTGGGCCGCACCTGGGCAGCAGACGGCACACGGACGTCGCCCAGAGCACACACGGAGCGCCTGAAGAGGGACCAAGAAAAGAGCAGAAAACACAAGTGAGACATTTCACGGAACCCAAAACAAACGGCTAGTAAACCCATGAAAAGATTTTCATCCTCGTTACAGGTCAGGGAACGATGAGACACCACAGCCATGGTGCTGGGAAAAATGGCAAAGACAACAGGAACCGTGCCAGAGGCTGTGCGGCATGGGGCGGGGGGGGGCACTGATGGGGTACTGTTGGGGGGGCACTGTTGGGGGGTGGGGGCACAATCATCCTAGAAAACACATCTGGTGTTATCTTATAAAGTTGAAAATGTATAGGTCTATGACCCATGTGTTCTCCTGGGTATTAACTCCAGAAGAACATGTACGTGTGCACTGGGAACTACGTGTAACGCTGGTCACTGTACAAAGCCCAAGCACCCGCTGACAGGAGCGGATTAACAGAAGCGGTCACGGCGAGACCCCACACGGCAGTGAGAGACTCGACTGCGGTTACACGTGGGACATCGAGGCATCTCGGAAAACCAGCTGTGAGCGCGCTCCTCCTACCGCTGCCACGCCCATCCGAACCCTCCACATCAGCTCATCTCTAGCCCTGAGCCCTTCACTCAGCCTCCACTTTCTCAACTCCAAACTTAGATCCCGAGTGTGACTCCAGCAACGTCTGGCCCACCCAACCCTGCTGCCCCAGTGCACCCCAGTACAGACAGCTGTGGGAGGTAGCTTTGAAGGAGGCATGGGTCCCGGAGAGAAAAGAGCAGATGACACGGTCCTGAGGTCCATTCTTCCCACAGGTGCATCTGTGGCTGCCGGGGTCATGACCCTGGCCAGGTTTTAGACATTATGAGAAATGCTGGTCAGGAAAATGGGATCAGTTCTATCCCTGGACACTAGCACCTGTGGCCAGTGTGGTTGTTGGTCTGCGGGCGCCCAGCCGTGAGCTTCTCCAATCCATTCTTTCCACCGAAGTCTTGCTTCGAATCCTTCAATATCTCCCCACTGATTTTTAAAGGTAAAGGACATGCACGCACGTGCACACACACCCCCACCCCCCACGTAACAGAAGTTACTTCGGGGGGGGGGCCTGGTGGCTCCCCGGCCGAGCATGTGACTTGGTTTTGGCTCAGGTCGTGACTCGCGGTGCCGACACTGAGCCCCGTGTCTGCGGAGGGTTCTCTTTTCCTGTCCCTCTGCCCCTCCGGCTTATGCACATGTTCGTGCCCTCTCTCTCAAATACATAAATACGAAAAAAATGAATGGAAGTTACTTTAAAAACAAGGGGGGGAAGGCGGAGAGTTTTCAAAGTTTGATCTCCCAGCAAACAACCTGCATGAAACCATGTTTTCCTCTTTCAAAATACGTGTTCACAGAGCAGCTCCTACAGCCGCGGGGAAGCAGAGGCGGCCTGGCCGGTCCCACTTTCGGGCACGTACAGGGCAGGGCAGCACGGGACGAAGGCTCACGGCCGCCACTGCTTGAACACTCCGGGGACTGAGTTTCCTTTCAGGTCTCCCGGGTCCCTCGCAGGTGCGCAGGGCAGGCGCGTGGCTCACGACTGGCCGCCGGGGCCGGGCCCGGGGCCCCGAGGGGAACAGACTGCCATGCGAGACGGCAATTCTGGGCACGGATGGCGGTGACGGCCGCACAGGAACGTGGGTGTGACCTCGTGGACCTGCACGCTGGAAATGACAGTAAATCCAACGTTCTGCATATTTTACCAAACACCCCAAAGGAGTGATGGAAAAATCAAAGCTAAATTGCCCAGTTCTCTTCCAAGACAGCAGAGTCCTCTCTCCTACCCCAGGCGTTGCTTTAAATGTGGGAAACACAGACCCGGAGACGTGTCACTTCCTGAGTCCGAAGCCTTTCCCGGGGCGCCAGGAAGGGGTCCCCGCGCCCCACTGTATGGCAGGTTTTGCCACTGCCCCGATGAAAGACGCGCTGATGTCCCCTGTCGCTGGTGCAAGTCCCCTCGCAGGACGCTCCGATGCACACGGACAGGAGTCGGGAAGGGCCTGAACCCAGCCTAGAAAGGCGGCCCAGAGCCCTCTGCCGGCACGGACGTCGGCGGCCGTAGAAATCAGTCTGTCCTGCAAAGCGAACTTGTTCCATTGAGGCCGCCGGAGAGCCGCCTGCAGCTGGAGGTCGCCCAAAGAGCTCGTGTGCGGGATGTTTCCTCGAGTTGTCGCCTCCGAGTCCCCCACCCCCACTGGACCCCCGACGACCAGTCCCCTGCTCTCCATTCCGGTGACCACGTCACTTCGGGGACGTTCAATGAAGGACACTCACAGGACGCTGCCTTTGCTACTGGCTTTTATCACTCGTCCTGACTTCCAGGCACCCCCAGGCTGTGCGTCATAGGCACTAAGAGTTGTTCCTTCGACCCTGAACCCTGTGCCACGGTAAGGAGGTGTCTAACCAGTCATCCAGTGAAGACCTAGGGGCTGTCACTCGCCTCTGCCGTGAGGGACAACACTGCTATGGAGCGGCTTTCGTGGAGAGAGAAGCCGAGAGTCTACGGGTTAAGACGATCAAGCTCAGGAACTGGACTCGAGAACTAGCGCAGAACTGAACCAGTGCTACCTCGATTTTAACAATAATCACTATTTTTTTAAAAAGATTTATTTGACAGAGAGACAGCGAGAGAGGGAACACAAGCAGGGGGAGCCGGAGAGAGAGAAGCAGGCTTCTCGTGGAGCAGGGAGCCCGATGAGGGGCTCCATCCCAGGACCCCGGGATCATGACCTGAGCCGAAGGCAGAGGCTTAACGACTGAGCCTCCCAGGCGCACCGAATCACTATTTTCTAAAAGTAGGTTCTATATTGAGCAATGTACAGGCCTTATCTCCCAACAACTATTAGGGAGACATTATTATACCCAGGTGAGAAGAGGGACGGAGCACCTTGATCATGGCTAAGAGTGGCAGCCTGTCCCATTAGTCACTGTGTGTCCTGCGTTGTCCATCATTGAGCACCTGAACACGTCCATGGGGGAACTCGAAGGCAGGCTACAGAGTTTTCAGACAGCTTTTCTGGAAAATTCTTTCACAATCTGAGCTGAAATGTCTCCCAGCAGCTTCCATTCACCATCCCAGTCCTTCTCTTGGGTTTTACAAGCCATTTCCCCCATGATGAACGGAGTGTAGCTCTGTGCTCTGTTTTTTCTTTTCCTGGCTAAATGCCTACAGTTTTTTAAAGCAATCATTACCCAATACAAGTTCCTTTCCCACTTATCAATGCTCTTTCGGTATGACCTATCGTTTTTAGATTTTGTATTTTAAGAGTGACTTTTTTGTTAAAATTTTATTTACTTGACAGAGACAGTGAGAGAGCGAGACAGAGCACAAGTAGGGGGAGGAGCAGAGACAGAGGGAGAAGCAGACTCCCCAACACAGCAGGGAGCCCGATGAGGGGCTCGATCCCAGGACCCTGAGATCATGACCTGAGCCAAAGGCACATGTTTCACGGACTAAGCCACCCAGGCGCCCCAAGAGTGACTATTTTTAAACAGTCTATCATATCATTGTTTCATTGAGAATGCAGTTCATTAAAATAATCACTTCTCTCTCTTTTTTTTTAAAGATTTTTTTTTAAGTTTACTTATTTTTTTTTAAGTTTAAAGATTTTATTTATTTGACAGAGATCACAAGCAGGCAGAGAGGCAGGCAGAGAGAGAGGAGCAAGCAGGCTCCCTGCTGAGCAGAGAGCCTGATGAGGGGCTCAATCCCAGGACCCTGAGACTATGACCTGAGCCAAAGTCAGAGGCTTTAACCCACCGAGCCCCCCAGGTGCCCCTCGGTTCTCTTTTTTATAAAAAATACCATTACTTATCAAAATCTCAGCAACATTTTTTATGGCAATTGTCAAGCTCATCTCAAAATTCATATGGAAATGCAATGGACCCATAAAAGCATAAATAACCTTGGGAAAAAAAAGGAACAAAGTTGGAGGGTTCCCGTTTCCTGATTTCAAAACTTACTACAAAGCCACAGTAACAAAGATAGTGTGCTATCAGCTTATGTCGATAGATGACACGTGTCTGACCCACATCCATGAGTCAGTGGGGTGCAGCTGTGAGTTCAGAAAGAATGCCTTACATCACAATCAGCTGATTTTCAACACACACACCAAGACAACTCAATGGGGGAAAGAAAAATGTTTTCAACAAATAGTGCTAAGACAGCCAGATATCCAGAGGCAAAATAATTATGTTGAAGTGGGTATTTACCCAAAGAATAAAAAAACACTAATTCAAAAAGATACATGCTTCCCTATGCTTCCTGCTGCATTACTTACAGTAGCCAAGATAAGGAAGCAACCCACATGCCCAGTGATGGAGGGTGTATGTGTATGTGTCTGTGTGTGTTTGTGTGTGAGAGAGATGGACTATTACTCAGTCATAAAAAAGGATGAGAATGTGTCATCTGCAACCATATGGATGGACCTAGAGCGTATTATGCTGAGTATATCAGAGAAAAACAAATATCATATGATTTACTTATATGCGGAATCATAAAAACAAAATAAATGAGTGAACAACCAAGCAGAAATGAACCCACAGAGAACAAACTGATGATTGCTGGAAAGGGGGTCAAGGGATGAACAAAACAGGTAAAGGGGAGTGAGAGATACAGGCTTCCAATTATGGAATAAGTCAGTCACTGGACTAAAACATACAGCGGGGAGAGATACAGTCAGTGACAGTAACAGCATTGTGTGGTGACAGATGGTAGCTACACTGTGATGAGCCCAGAACAACATATAAACTTGTTGGGATTGTCTCAGTCAGTTAAGCATCCGACTCGTGATTCCAGCTCAGGTCCTGACCTCAGGGTGGTGGGACAGAGCCTGGCGCCGGGCTCCGCACTCAGCGTGGAGTCTGCTACAGATTCTCTCTCCATCCACTTGTGCTCACTCGCCCTTGCTCTCTAAAATGAGTTACATCTTAAAAACAAACAAAAAAACCCCTTGTTGAAACATTATGTTGTACACCCAAAAATAAAGCAACTGTGTCAA